CCCCAGCAACACGCCCAGGCCAAAGCAGCCGCCTGTCCATCACTGCCCACACCCGCCCCGGGGTCCAGGGGATGCACAGTCTTTCACAGACTCGGAGCTACCCCGGACACCCTCCCTGAGACAGCCAGAGAGCTGCAGTCCAGCTGTCCCATCAGAGAGGCACCCTGCCAGCAGCACAGCAGCGCTGCTGCGCCAGCCCCCTCCCCACCTCGCAGACGACGCTGGCGATGTCCTGCTTGTCCTGCGCAGAGAGGTCAGGGGCGATCTTCACCAGCACGGCTGGCTTGTGCTGGCAGGGCAGCATGTGCCTTTCCACAAGCACCTGCAGGGGACAAGGGGCACAGAGCAGCGTGGGGGGCAACCCCACTGCCCCTCAGCGGGCACACGCCAGCACCCACCACCACGGGCAGCACAGGGCCAGGCACAGGACCTGCTCAGGACCCTGGCGACTCCCTGGGGTGGGGGGCTGGCTGCCCCTCACGGGAGCAGAGGGCAATGCCCCACTGCCCGCACACCCTTTGCTGGAATACAGTGCCCGGTGAACCAGCAGCTCATCAGGGCTCTGCACACCACCACAGGGAGCCACCACACCTCTCCCTGTGCTGGGCAAACCCAGCTGGAGCAGAGCAGGTGCTGCCAGGGGATGGGGTGCAGCCGGTGCTACAGGCGTGGTCTGGGCTGGCTGTGAGGGTCACCCACCTTGGTCAGCAGGTCCCGCAGCTCAGCCTTGCCCTGCAGGTCCCGCAGCCCTGGGGTGTTTGGGCTGGACACGTTCACAACTAGGTAGTCAGCCAAAGGGCCCAGGGTCTGGACCCCAGCCACGTAGTCAGCTGCAGCATCAGCAGAGTTCTTGTTCTTGCCCAGGTTGATTCCAAGGGGCATCCCCGCTGGAAAGGGACAGAGCTGAACCAGGGCAGCAGGACCAACCACCACCCAAGGGACAGAGCACCTCATAAGGCAGGCCCCAGGACCAGCAGAAATCAAGATGGGGACATGCAGCCCACGTGTTCCATGGGGCCTGGGACTGTCTTGCAACCCCAGCACTGCCTGACACCACAGGATCCAGCCTGGCCAGGTGGTGGAGGCTGCCTTCAGAAACTGCCCAGCTGGGGCCCTGTTGGCTTTGTCTGTCCCAGCCGACACATCCTGCCCAACACAGCAAGCAGAGTCTCCATTGCAGAGAAAAAGGCAGGAGAAAGGTACCTGCCCACAGTCCCAAGGGGGAAAAAGCTACAGCCCCAAGAAGGTTCCTGATCTTTGAATGCACCTCACCCTGGGTAGGGCCTTCCTGTGCCTGGACACTGGCATTACACACCTCTCCTGGCCTACAGCTCCCTGGAAGACCCCAGACCCACCCTGCAGCCCCCAAGAGCAGAGGTGTACGAGCTGGTCTCACCGCCAGTGAGCCTGCGCTGGGCCTCCCGCCGCGCCCGCAGCCTGCGCTCCACTGCAGCGTGGCCCTGGCTGTTGAACCCGAACCTGCGCCAGGGCACGGGCTCAGGGCTGGGCCGAGCCCCCGCGCCCCGGCAGGACACCGGGAAACACGAGGGACAGGTGGCTTCTGCAGCTCTGCTCAGCACGCCCCACCCGGGAGCCACCTCAGCAGAGGCCGCAGGGCCAGGACCCCCCGCAGCCCCTGCTCGGGCCCCACCTGTTGATGACGGCCTCGTCCTCCACCAGACGGAAGACCCTCGGCAGGG